TATGGTTGTATACCTGAATGTTATAGGGAAAAAATGGTGAATTTACCTTTCTTAGTGTACTAATAACCTGCCAAAAAATTATTTCAGGGTATCTACCAAATGAAATGTGTATGTGCATGCTCCCTGAGAAAATTCAATAACATTAAAAAAAATAGTATAGACTTAAGGAAAATGAAAGGGTATATAGGTAAAATGGAGGAAAAAAATAATACAAATGAGAAAATTTGTCTGAGCCAACTACATAAAATGATTAGAACACCTTGCCAAACAGAATTCATACATTTCTGTGAGGAGTTAGCATTATCTGCATTCAGATTAATGTCCTCATCTTTGTTGTTATTTTCACAACATTTTGGCTGTTGTGCCCTTCAGATGTCTGTCAACCCAAGTAATCTTCAGGACATGTTGAACTGAACCCCTTATTTAATCAACAAAAACAAATTGTCCATGTCTAAGGATATCTTGCCTTGCTTTTTTAAATACTACTCAGTTATTGTTAGTCATGTTTCCATCTAGTCACTACTACCTGGCTCATGGATTGAACCCACAACTACATATATGCTATCAAATTTACAAGATAAGACAAGATGAGATATCCCTAAGACATGGACAGTGGAACACGGAAAATCTAACACTGTAGTTTAAATAAAGGTTTTTATTACATATTCCCTGAAGGCTATTCAAATCAGCAAACAACTGAACATGGCCAGTGGACACAAAAGTTGAAATTTGATAACAACAACAACAAAGATAAGGACATGAGTCAAACTATAAATATTGTAAAGAATTCATACAGGAATATCAATCTGCATCATTGTTTCTATTCCCATCAAGAGAGAGGTTTTGTTAGTAACTTATTTTCATGAACATTTAATTTAGTCATGGATGAATCCTTTTTACACTTTTCAAAATTCTAAATAAATTATAGTTCTAAATTAAGATTTAGAAAATCAGAATTCTAAAGAAAAATCACAAAATAGTAAAATGTTTATATTTGATTTTGTTCCTCTAAGTATAACATTTATCTACATTTTTGTTTTCAGGAAGTAAAAAATGTGCCAGTAATTTATTTTTCTACTTTATTGACACAAATTGAAATAAATCACAATGTAAAATTAAATATAATCTATTCTATGATATAAAGCAAAATGTGACTATATATTTATCAGAAACAAAGCATGACTTTTCTTAATAAGAAATCTATTTGTTATAGTAACTGAGAACATTACTAGACACCAATAACTGAACTTGTGTAACCATAACTATGTAATATCTCATTAGTAAATAGTGAGAAGTTGTTAATACATTGCTTTTAATTTTATTTTTTGTGAGTTATATTAGGATATTTACTTTTAATGATTTAAAATGCTTTCTTACATGTGACAATAAATTATATAGATAAAAATCCTAGAGTACACATGCAGAAAATTAAAGCAATGCAATTGTAAAGTTATTTAAATATTGACATTATTTTATTGGTATGGATAAAGTTGTTTAAATATATTGGTTTTAATTTTGATTATTATATTCCTTATTGTAAAAATCACTTATTCTGCTCGATTTGTTCTTTCAGGTTATTTTTACAAGATAATAAATTTAATGAAGTACTCCGAACATTAGAATTATGCAAAAATCACAACTAAAGTTTAACACTGCTTACTGTTAAGGTCAGCAGAGTTTAAAGTGCTAATGTTATTCATTTTCTTACAGATGAGTTATTGAATATATTGATTATTTCATTGACAATGCTCATTATTAAGGCAGGGAACCAACACAAAAGACAGCTCCAAGGTACAAAAGTATGTTCTATACAATATTTGCCAATAATAATGTACAATGCCTCTAACATTTGGTGCACAGTAATTTTCTTTCTATTGCCTTTTATTAGAATAATGACAATGGACAAAACCTCATAACGAGTGCTTAGTAATCTTCTGTTGGGTACCTTTTATTACAATAATCATAACTGTCTACATTGTTTTTAAGTTTTGATGAAAATCAGTTAGGTACAACAAGAAAGTACCTCTTATATTTATCAGAATATTTTTAAGAGATAAAATAGGGCTGTCTATATTGTAGCATAATGGTTATTAGCATGGAAATTGGAAACTGAAGGCAGAGTTCAAATTCTAATAGCGTTTACTGATTCCACTTTGTGCTAATGCCCATTGAAAAGAGCATGCATCTATCCCTTTCTCCATAGCTATGTATAAAATAATTTGACAAACTGGATCCTCTAGTTTTAGTAGTCAAACAGTCTAAAACAGACAACTCTGAATTCAAAAATTGTGGAGTAGGCAACAGGAAAACTCTCTACTATCTTTCCCAAGAGAAGTCATGGGGATTTACAATTTACTGATATTAAAAGAAAGGAAGTTATATAGAGCCATGACCTGTACTTTGAAAGAACATTTTAAAAAATAAATTAAAGGAGAATCTAGTTTACAGCTAAATAGAATAAATGTTTATAGACAATGATTTGGACTGTAAGATATTAAACATTGTTCTAAAAAGTCTTTGCAAACATGTCTTTGTTGATCCATCAGACAAGGAATAAAAGACCTAAGCATACAATTTCTGATAATGTTCCAAGAAAAAGCACAAAGGAATATTTAATATCAAAGGAAAAAATGGCATATTTGCTGATTTTTTTCCTCATTTTATGTTTATAATTCTCCCATAATGCAGCTTAACTATTGGATTCAGCAAAACAGACAAATAATAACACAAATGACAGATAAAACATAAAATAATAAAACAGTATTAGATTTCCAAGCAAATGAAATTATTTCTAGAGTTCCTGTTGGTCAGAAATATATGCTTTGTAAATTGATATGATTCAAAGTTTTTAATAAATTGACACAGTAAATAAACTATTCTGGAAGCTACATAGGCTGACCTTTAAGGGTAACTAATGAAATATTTACATTTTCTCATGTAGAATATTAATGAAAAGTGTCTTGGCAAAATGTTTCAAATGTAAAGTATATAATGAATGTATAATTCCAGGTATGACAGAATCACTTGAAAATAAACTTAGTAATGTACAAAGATCAATGGAAAGAGCAATGATAGTGATAACTGTAAGATATAGAAACAGTTCACCATCATCATAGAAGTGATTAATCAACAAAAATGAATGAGTGTAGTGAAAAGAAAGGATAACAGATAAAGCAAAAGGTTAGTTTATTAGTTTCTGTTAGATAGTAACCCCAGTAAGAAAAAAAACAGGCAGAAGATGGAGAGATGAGACAGAGTGTTGGTAAGATATAACAGAGAATAGTACAGTCATGGTTGTCATGGAAAACCTTTGTCCTGCAATGGGCTCACAATAACTGTTAATGATATTTTTACTTACATATAAAATATGTAAGTAAAATTATGGAACTTTAGGGCTGAATGATGTTTATCATTTCTGTTTTATAAATTTCTAAAGTTGATTGTTTGATACCATGAAACATGCAAAAAAAATTAGAAATGTTAGAACAGTGGTTCTCAGTCAGGGAGGAAATCATCCCTGGGGAGTGAATTTTAGAGATTCAAGGGGGAAACTGGGACCACAAATTGGCAGATTTAAACAGTTGGAATATTAATATTAATCACAATTCTGCAATGCATTTTTGGAATCATCAAAATTGGCAGTGAGGAATGACATTTTGAAATATGATGAAAAAAGACGTACAGGCAAAAAATTTAGAAAACCAATATGTTAGAAATTCAAAGAAGAAAATCATTTTTAGTGGAAATCAAGACTAAAATGAAAACTTACAAGCATTATATATATATATAGATATATCTTAATTTTTATGTATCGTGGCAAATAGCTATGTACAAAGATAGTTAAAGACAACATAAAAAAGAACAATGTAATAGTTCCTATGGCTTACAAAAATGTGTTAAGTATGAAACCCCATGTTAATACAAGGTCACACAAAGTATACAGCAAGAGAAGCACCAAAGAAAAATAGTGTATATTTAGTAGATTTGATGTGAACATGACAATGATTAAATTGGAATTTTAGGTGGTATGTGTTATTAAAAAGTCATTATTTAAAGGAAATAAGAGAGGCTGGGTATAGTATATCTGTCCTTGACTCGAATATAGAACATCTAACATAAGTACACTGTACATAAGATGACATGAAGTGAAAGAAAAAGTAGAGATATTTAAAAGCAAATGGTCAAAATTAATAACCTTCGTATCACTCTAAAGACAATGTAACAATAGAGTATAATGAATTTTATGCAGGGTGACTGCTAAAAGCAAAAACTTTTATTTCAGTAACATAGATTATGAAAATAAATTTACAAAGAAAATGATTTTTGTTACTGTATATATATGACAGAATACCAACTTGTGACTGAATACAACTGCATTTCTTTCTTTTTTTTAACACCAATTTAGTTTATCTCAATCATTCCTTGATTTTTTTTCTTAAGTAACACATTTCAACCAAGATGTATTGCATGTGAGTTTACTGTAAAAAGCATGTTCACTTGAATGTGAACTTTTGAAATGGTGAGCAATCCCACTTGGCAATTCGGTACTACAGATATTGCATATCAAACATTGCTGAGCATTATAATTGTACACAGTGTGGTAGTTTGTCTAGTGCTGGCTATAGCTGGTAAGAGCAGCCTTAGACCCCACTATCAGAGATCTTACAATCAAATATTCAGATATGCACAGACATATACATAAATAACCTGCCTGTGAAGTATAAGGGTCAATGCAAATTTTTAGAAGTATTTGAATATAGGAAAGATGACACATCTGCATAACCCTAGATCTTTTAAATGACCTGAAACATGCATGCTTGAAAATGATTGATTACAAACATTTACGCAATATCTATACACATTGGACCCAATTATATTATACACTCTTGTACATCAATGAGTTAACTAAAAAAATAATTTTGATCCTTTCTAATGAAACATAAATTATAAATTATGTATATATTTTATATATATGTATTATATACATATGAAAGACTTACCATCTACGCCTCCGGGCAAGTTAAACTCAGCAGACAGGGGTCGGCTACCAATATCATGCAAGATCTTTCGAGATCTTGTTGTGATATCATCCAACAGAGGCATGGCAGGTGTGTAGTCACTTGCTGGGCTGTTATCGGTGTCTGATGAAAACTGGTGCTGGTGAAGCTCCCTCGTAGGCATAATATCCATGTCAGACCTGTTGATATCAGGGAGGGTCACACTACCGGAAATACCAGGTGGATGTAACCCTGGGGGTATGTTAGGTATAATTACTGGACCTGAATCACTCCTGTTCATTAAGTTTGGCGAAGACGGATAAACCTGCGATTGACTTAAGCCAGCATCGTAAGGTGGGTATGACCCGTACGTAGAATAATCATCATAAAGTTGGCGTCTGGCAAGCTCTTGTTTGTGGGCTAAATATTCTGTGGAGCTGTAGTTTGCCTGGGCTTGATAAAGTTCCTGGACTCTTTTGGCATCCATACTTTCTGATTTGCGAATGTCGTGAGTGCTTTGGACAAAGCGTTCTAACTGGGGTGGTAGGTCATCATCTAAAGGCTTAATGATACCGGTTGGCACGTGTCGTGGACTTGTGGAGTAGGCATAACGTCTTGGAATGTCGTCATAACTGTGAGCAACTGCCTGTCGGGCACGGGAGAGGCGTATAAGTTCATGTTGTAGGCGTGCCGTCTCTTCTAGTTGCTTCTTTCTCTTCTCAATTTCATACTGAAGGATCTGTCGCTTCTCCTCCTTTGTACGTTTTTCCTCATCATCCGAGAAGTATGTTGGTGTTTTCAGGTGTCCTGCTAGACCATCAGCAAGGTATGATTCAGAGTGACTGCTCGATAAGGGAGCAGATGTTGATAAATACTGTGCGCTATCTGAAGGATGAATTCGCTCAGTGGACTGAGCTCGACCAGTATAGAACATTTTGGCATAAGCTGAGGGCTTTATCTTCTTGTATGCTGAATTTATGGTCTCTCCAATAGGTTCCGAACGCGTACTCTCTGTATCACTGAGTCCTGACTGAGAACTATCATCTGTAGAGTACTTAGAGAACTTGCCTTCCATACCTTCAGTGGCGCCACGCGCCTGGAAGTCAGCCTCAATATCCTTGTCCTCTTTGATTGGCGAGAATTTTGCAATCATTGGGTCGGACGCTTGCCGGCGGTGACGGGAACGTCTTGGAATGATCTGTGGAGATGAACGCACTGATGCGGTAGACTTATCAAAGGACGATGATGTCACAAGACCGCGACCATTTCTTGGCAAAGTCCGAGACTTGTGACCGGACGCCAGTAAAGCGGCGGCCCTGGAATCCAATTTTGACTCCAACTTCAGTTCCTCAATTTGCCGTTCCAGTGCATGGATTTCTTCCAGTTCCTCGATCTTCCGTCGCCGGCTTTCAGTTACTTTCCTCAACTCATCTTGGAGCCTCCTTTTGAGAGATTTCATTGCTGTGCTGATTGGAATACCATAGATTCCAACCAGTGAGTCGATGATCTGATCGTTATCATCTTGTGTGAATTCATCTGACAAGGAACCCGGAGGGGTTACATGCAGATGCCACCTTCTATCACTAACCTTCTGCTCGACAGTTGAGGATTGATATGCCACTACTGATTTGGCATCATGTTTTCCTATTGCCTGTTTCTCACTTGTTTTCCTCCCATTCACAGCACCTGATTGTCGTCCCCCATTACCAGTTCCCATCCTACTGTTGGATGGGATAGGGGCTTTCATAGGGCCTCCATCAGATTGCCTGCCATTACGTCCATTGCCACCTGTAGGAAAAAAATATTATAAAGCAATTAGATATTTATCCGTAATCAGAAGTTATTTGGTTCAGGAAAAGAAAAAATTATTATTGAAAGAATGTAAATATCAAACAAAAATTATTTCAGGCTTCATTCATTAAAATCTTTAGGATCTGTCATTTATGATTTTATCTTTAATTAATTTTGAAGAATTTTTTTCATCATGAGGCTAACTGATTAGAGGCTAGTTTTTTTTGTTTAAATAGAAATGTTACAGTTTATAAAAGGTTTGTTTTTTGTATTTAATGGCATCTCAACACCAATATCATGTCACAAAGTTTTATAACTTTTTGAAAAATGACATATATATATATATATATATATATATATATATATATATATATATATATATATATATATATATATATAGTTATACAGTTTAAATTTTTCCTAAGAACCCAAAATATTGTGTTTGGTTGAATTTTGTTAAATAATTCCTTTAAACTATTTACTTGATAACGTCCAAGTTGGGTTAGGTTCAGGTTATCACTTTTTATTATCGAGATATGCTGAACTCTTCAGTGTTTCTCTATTGTTTAGTGTATGTGAACAGTTTATGCAATCTCAATATTTTATCTAGTAAAAATATCCAACCTTTATAAAGTTGTAAAACTAAATAATTATATAAGTAATATTTAATCAGATTCCATAAATGAGAAGACTGATGAAATACCTTTAATAATTAGCTTGCTCTTGTGACTATTGATCATAAAATGAGCCAGGGACATTTTACATCCAACAATATCAATCATTGATCATTTAACATGAATGTTGTTCTTGGGAATGCAACAAAAGCAATCTTCCACTATCATCAATCAGCTGATCATTACCACAAAGTAAGTATCCTAATTGCTTCAGCTCGGAAATGAGAGATGTGCCACACCTAACTAGTCCAGTGATTTTTACTAAAGACTGTTGCATTCTCTTGTCTCCCTCTCTATTATGCCAATACATGTTAAAGATACATGCAACAGGCTTGATGATGTCTCAGCATGCTTCTCATAAGAGCTTTAACAAAAGTAGTAGCAAGTTATCTGGCAATGTTGGAGAAACATGAATGAGACAGAACCACTTCATGTTACTCAGAAAAGAACACAGAGGTCAGCCCTCACAAGGAAGGCTATCAGTGTCACGTTCACAGACAAACAAGACTATGACACTGGTAAGAGCTGATAGAATGAATAAGACATCATTGAGAATCATAAGACATGCTGCTGCTGCTGCTAATAAAATTTACCCAAACACAGAATATAAATAACTAAAACAAAAATCTTTTTTTTAGGAATTTTATAAATAAAGATAAAATTAAATCAACATTAATTTCTGCATTAAAATGAATAAAAGTTAGAATTTTAAAGAAAATAATTTTTTCCTTTGATATTTTAATCCAAAATCAACACTTTAAGCGACATTATATTATTATTTCCATATAAAAGAAAATACTCATAGCCATAAAATATGCAGTGTTATATGTGTTACTGAAGTACTTTATTAAAAAAAAAATGGACACAATCTTTTGTCTATATAAATTGAGAAATCTATTTACAAATCTTTAGAGCTCTGACTTGAATGATCTTTAAATCTATATTGCAAAAACATTAAATTTCAAAGTTTAATTTTTCTCTCTGGACATAATTATATGTGTATATGTGGCTTGCTTTATGATTGAGTGAGTTTTATATTAAGAATGTGAACAAGTTTTAGTGCTCTTCTTCTTGAATACAAGTATTTAAAAAAAAGCGTGTTTTTATTTATTTATTTATTTATTTTTTTTTTGAGATAAAAGCATTCTTAATTTTCATACCCCAAATATTTCTCTCTGGTGTCTGATATCAATGTTCAAAATGTGGTAAAAAGCCATGCTAATTTTATAAGCTGTTGTCCTTCCACACTATTAGGTTAGCATGAAACATTATTCCTCAAGTTATCCTTTTTTTTTATTTTGATCAATTCATCCCAAGCAAGATGATAATGTCACTAAGGCATAAGGGACTACTGAGTGTGAAAGAGAATGAGAAGACTTTAGAAAGAACTGGAAATCCAATACTAAACAGAAAACGAGGGATAAACCTCTACTCATGTTTAAAAACCAGGAAGGAGTGTAAAGTGGATGATAGGTGAACATATCTACTACTGCTGAAGAAAAAATAAATAAATAAAATATATAAATAAAATTTCAGATTTTAGGCAGAGACATTAGAAATATAGGCAGATAGTAGAAGGAACTGGAAACTCAATTCTAAGCAGGAAACAAGCAATAAACCTCTACTCCTGTTCAAAAAACAAGAAGTGTGAACTAGATGATACACTCCTTCAGACAAAGCTCAGATTAATAAATATCAGTATGTGAGTTTCAGGAAGAGCAAATAGAATGCTTAAAATAGGGATGAGGGTGCAGCTGCTGTCATAGCAATGCAGCAGTTCAATTACATGTCTAACCATTGAGTTCACTAATCAGGACTAGTGCATACTACAACCCCCACCTGGACAAAGAGCCTGATTAGGGGCCCTTGCTTTCTTATCAACATTTGTTTTTTTCCTACTTACATTTATATACATTACAAATTAAACTTAGTACAACTGATGAGTATAAAAAATCTTTGTGGATTTTGACATCATTCCAGGTTCTTTCCACAAGCAAGAAGTGCGGTAAAAGAAACTATTAGCAGAGAACTTATGGTTACAACTAACAAATTCAACATTGAAATTATGAGACCTAGCTGCCAATCTAGTATTGGGCTTAAATTTGTGAAGTTGAGGTATTAATGAGGAGAGCTCATCAGAACAATTACCATGAAAATATTGGATTGGGGAATAAGTCATGAGCATTTTTTTAGAGTAAAACATTTTTGGGAAGCCAAATATTTGGCAAATGTTTTAGAACAACAATTTCTTATTGTTGTTCTAACATTTACATATATGTATGATTTTTATTAATTTCATTACTTTTTGGTTCTATTTCAGACCCCTAAAATGGAATGTCAAATAAACAAAATTGCTCATTTTAGACACCGTTTACTTTTTGCATATAATCGAGTAGTTAATGCCGCTAAAGCAGCTTGTGAGGTTTGTGAAGATGGCACAATGCCTCAAAGTACTACCCAATGTTGGTTTTCGCACTTCAAAAAAGGAAATTTTGAGCTAGAGGGTGGGAAGCACCCTGGACAACCAGTTGAATTTAATGAGAAGCGATTAAACTAGTTTCTTCATGAAAATCCACATCAGACAACCAGAGCATTGGCGGAACAGATGAATTGCAATCACAAAACTCTGGTAAATCAGCTTCACTCAATGGGGGTGGGTTCAGAAACTTGGTTCATGGGTGCTACACACATTGAATGACCACAAGAATCAGTGCGTAACAATTGCAGCCAGTTTGCTGGCTTGACATCACTCAACATATGGTCATAAACAGCATTTCCTTTATTGCATTGTCACTGGCAATGAAAAATGGTGTCTTTGCGTCAGTATAAATAATGGCTCGGCCCCAATAAGTGACACCTCAGGCAAAACAAGACCTTCATCCTTGAAAGACCATGTTGTGTGTATGGTGGGACTGGGAAGGCATAATTCATTATGAATTGCTTGAGTGAAATCAAACAGTAAATGCTGAGCTCTATATTCAACAACTGCACCATCTCCATGAAGCAATTCAGCAAAAAAGACTGAATCAGCAACAGAGTGTTCTTCAATACAACAATGCCAGTCCTCACATTGCCAATATAACCAAAACCATTATTCAAGAAATTGGATGGAAAGTTTTGCCTCAACCTCTGTACTTGCCAGACTTGGCACCATCAAATTTTCATCTTTTTCAATCTCTTTTCAATGCCTTACATGGTGTAACATTCAATACTGATGTTCAATTGAGAGTTTGGTTAGGAGATTTTTATTGTCAAGGAATAGAAAAACTTTGTGATCGATGGGAAAGTTATCAAGAGCAACAGAGATTATATTGTTGACTAATTTTATGTAATTTAATATTGTAAGACCATGACAATAAAATATTTTGTAAATCACTCACAACTTATTCCCCTACCCAATATTTATAGAAAAGGCACAGGAAGACTATGTTACAGTGGTGGGAAAGTGACTAAAGCCAAGATGCCAGGTCAGAATTGGTAATATTGCAGATTCTGACTTGGATTTTGTTAAGAATCTCTAGATATGAAACAGAAGCACCAGACCAGATGTGGCAACAAAATTTGATGCATGGACGAATAGTAGACTTATAAATGTACAAGATAGATTATGGTGAGAAAAATTGTCTAGCAAGACATATTCATGTCAGTGGAAAACAGGAGAACAAGAAAATGTAAGGAGTTGATCGCCTGGTAGTTAACATCAGCCATGGTGATGGAAGGTAAAAAGGTTCTTTAAGATGTTTAATGAAAAGCAGATTTGTTTTAGAGGCATTAAAATTGACAAGCTACTTAACAACAGATTGAAGGTCATTTTCAAGACCAACTGTAAATTTTCAAACCTATCAGACTTACTATTAAGACAGGAATAAATAGTTGTGTCATAAGTATAGATACCGAGTTTGGAACTGATGATATCAGGAAGGTCATTAATGAATACAAGGAACATAGTGGGTTCAAGAATAAATCCCTGAAATACACCTGCATTAATGCACAAAGATTTAGAGGAGTGGTCATTCAAAACAACTTTCATTACACAGTTTGATAAGAAAAATTGAATCAAATGGCCAGAAACACCATAACCATTCAGCTTGTGAAGAAGATCAGAATGCCAAACCCTGTCAAATAGCTTTGAAGTACCTGAAGCAACAGCCCAAATTTTGCCATTCTTATCTAAAACTTGATAGACTTTTTCAGCAATAACCATCAACAGATTGGTGGTTGATCTAGAGAAGTGAAAGCTATATTGTCTTAAAGTAGACCCTGTAAGGTGAGATGCTTAACTAGTTCAGTGTTGATGACAACCTCAAGTACTTTGCCAAAGATAAGTCGACTCTTAGGTTGAGAGGAGGTTGACTATTATGTTAAGAGTTCAAAGGATCAGACAATTCAGAGTTCTCAAAAACAGGAGCTATAAAGAGGATTTTCAACAATATGGAATCAAGAAACAGCAAAGCATCTATTGTAGAGCTTGGTGACAACAGGGGCCCATTCAGAAGCATATTTGTTAAGGATAATTGCGAGAATACTATCAAGTCTACATACTTTGTTTTGATGGATGGATTCATTTTCTACTGCTTATCATCCCTTTTCAGCTTATTTAAAGCCAAAAATTACTTAGAGATAGAAGTCTTACTTATTAACCCATAGCTGGGAGTAGAAGTGGATTTGTACCTTTCCCAAGGATATTTACACTTAAGTGAATATAACAAACCCAACAGTAATTGGAACTCAGCTCTCCAATTAACAATTCCGAGCCATTATCCATTACACCATCCAAGCTTACAGCACATGATACTTCCAAGTGGTCCCCCCAGGCTTAACACAGCTTAACTTTGGTGATTATATGGTAACCAGTGTTTCAACACATGCTTTGTGGAGGTCAATTATATATATCTGATCTCAGAACACCTTAGAATGGAGTAATTGTTAACAAGGTTAGTCTGGTTGACCATTACAACTAAGTAGTGAGTTTGATCTTCACTGGGTGCCCCATACAACATTCAATATTAAATAACCAAACAAGGGTTGACATGTCATAAAATCAACAAACCTGACCAAAGTATTTTTTTATTTTAATAAAATGAGTTTAATCTTTGGCTTTATTTAAACAGTGAGAAAATTAATTTGAAGAATCTACTATTCCACAAAAGAAGCTAATTTATGTCATTCATATTCTTCACTGTTGCAGTAAACCAATGGATGGATGCATCCATAGCAGTTATCAGTAGCGAAAGTAGAATAGGCATACTGAGTTCAAGTTCTGTCTAAGTTCATTACATTTATTTTGCACAATATTCTTGAGAAAGGTATGACTCAATCTCTTCTTCCCCCACGGCTTAATAGCAGTGAAGATTGGGCTCCTGAACCTTGGTTGGTAACCAGTTGAAAAGAACTCTGAATTCAAAATCTGATAGGCATATGGCTGGCAACTCAACCCTGTAAAATGGCAACAACAACACCTAGCATGCTGTGGCTATATACTCCAGAGAATAGTTTACTGGCACAAAGAAGGAAGAGGTGGTAGTTAACCAAAACGAGCAAAGAACACAATTTGAATACATCTTAAAGCAGGCTGGAGTGAATTAAAGCATTTTAGTGGCATATCATACCTGCATTATCATCAAATAATCAGATATTTTCAAAACCTCTGAAGATTACTGTGAAAACTTTCTTTACTTCCACATGAAAGCATATGTATCAAAACTGAATTTACTGAAGATTTGAAATTGATATTTTTTTTCATTCTTATTCTATGAACATCAGAGAAAAATACTTAAAAATATTGATGATCAAGAAGAAACCAATTTTTTTCATTTTTAAGCTATTTAACTAAATGTCATACCTTTTGAAGTAGTTCCATTTGGGCCTCCAACTGTTTTCTGTTTGCTGGTGCAGGGACCAGTGCCTGAACCATTTCCAGCACTATTGGCACGTAAGCTATGGTTCCCATTTGTTCGCCCCACCCCGGAGAGTGATGAGCTTGTAGACTTGACTGACTGGGAGGGGTGGCCTGCCTCTCGGCTAGAGTCGTCTTTATGTGAGACAGTCTCATTGTCTCCATGTGGGCTTCCTTTCACTGCCTTAATTGTGGGGGCCTTTCGACTGGGAGCCGGTGGGACAGAACTTGAAGGGCTCTTCTTTTGAGCTGGGGCTCTGGGAGTTGTAGCTGGTTCCTCGTCTGCTGGAATCGGTGGCAGTTTTCGTCGAATTTTCTTGCCACTGTCCTTTGGCTTAGGTGCTTCTGGCTGTCAAAGAAAAACCAAAGACTCAATTAAAAGACAAATTAAGGCATTAAGATGGTGAGATAGTGTCAGAATAAATGAAATGCAATGAATCTTAAATCCAAAGAAAACTGAGTCTGTGTTCTTTTTCTCACACTGAATTATTTCAAGAAAAGTTTTGAAATGATTTATTTGGTTGGCAGGAATGTTCTTACAGTTTCTAAATAAATCTAATGTTCTACAAACTGCAACAACTTTCCTTCCAGCCATATATAATTTTAAAATCATTTTTAAATGTATAAATGGTGGAGATTTTGTCTTCTACAAAGTAAACAAAACACTAAACTAGGTACCAAGCAGAGACGATTACCAAACAAAAATATAATAATCCTAAGTTATCTTGAAATCCTAGATGAAATATTTTCATCATCCATTTTTTATTAGTTTTCTTCATTATATTCTTCATTTTTATCACAACTAATTTAACACTGCTTACTTAAGAGTATTTAACCAAGGATGTTATGATAAAAATCAATAAAATGAAAGAAAACTAAGAAAAAATGAATATACAATTTGCATACATCATTTAGCAATAATACTAAACAGTCTAAAAGTGTTGTTTAAAGTCTATCAAACTCAGGATGTATTTATCACTCATGGTTTTTAGTAAAGCAACTACCTCAAAACATACTCTTATAAAGTCATTAAACCATGCATTAACAACTGATTGAAGAACACAGGCCATTTCCATATTCTGTCCCACTGACAGTCATATTGTACTGTCACTGGTAAGTAACAGAAAGTTGAATAATACAATGCAATTATAATTTGCCTAGATTTACTTGCCAAAAATCACAGTAGCAGATACTATAGTCATTATCAGTTATAACAAATGAAAGCTAATCTAGCAAATAGATACTTTCCTGGACAAACTAAAAGATTTTATTTGAGATTTCCTGATGATTAAATTAAGTTGCTGGATTATTTCATGTCAAGTTTTGTATGGGGCACCTAGTGAGGATCAAACTCACTACTCAGTAATAATGATTAACCAAACTAACTTTGGTGACTATATGAGGTACCAAAGAGTTAACAAGCAAACTACACATGAAGGCAAGAAAGTAAACAAACAAAAAATGCTAATCCAGAATAATCATTGATTAAGAAATAAATGAAATATATAAGATCAGATATTTTAGACTCCATTTTTTTAAATGAGGGATTATTATAGTGTGATTTACAGAGATAAGTCATATATTCTGGTTTACCAAGTGAGACACATGATATAAGAAAGAATGAACAGATATGCGATATCCTCTAGAATGAAATCAATCTACATTCATGGATTGAACAAAAGTCTTAGTTCAAAATTCCCAGAAGGTTACCAACTATGCAAAATGCCAGAGGATAAAACAGTGGAAGTGCTGTGACTATAATGAACAAGATGAGGACACGAGCCCGAGTAAATTAGTGGATAATAAAGAACTGATATTCTCTGAAAGTTATCATACTGAAGAGGTAAAGAAAGATTTTGTGACATGGATTACAATCTTTCATTGAAGGTTCTTGTTGACCCATCAAAACCAAGAATGTATGGAAACTCCAATGAAAATCTATCCAACTGTGCATCAATATCTATCTTTAATAATACCGACTAATCCTTGCTTCTGTATTCAATAGATACTCTTTGACTGTCTAAGTTCTTTGTTTCATTGCATCAAGATATAAAGAGTGGGAGTCACAGCTTAGATTTGATGTCCAGCCAAACTATTTTTGAGAATACAATTTGCCAAAGTGACTAATCAGTGTTGTAAGTCCTGATATAGCCTTACAAAAATGGCAAATATCCAAATCAGCCCAAACTTCTTATGGCCAGCATAATATATTTACTTGAACAAAGCTGTGTATATTCTTCATTTGATATAGCTGCACTTTGCAGAAATTTGTACCGAAATGTGTGCAAAATATATATTTTAATACTCAAATCAAAATGTCTTCTATAAAGCTTACATAAGAGTAAATTTCATTATTATATTTATAGATATGGAAGAGACTTGTCCCTACATTATATCTGTTGATACAATAGAAATACTCCAATGCTCACATATAGGCATCAAGGTATCATAAAATCAAAGCATTATACACTGACAGTCATGTATTGATAAGGGGGTACAAAGAATTTCTCAGTCTGACCAACAAGGTCACATACTGATGTTTAGCCATTTGGTCAGATTTGGGGAAGTGGGTCAGTGTGAAAATTTTTCAAACTTTTATACATTATGATGATGTTGTATGACAATAACTTCATTTATCTTAGCTACATATTCATAAAAAGTCAGTATGAAATATAAGCTGTGGGCAGGAGGGACATTGAGAATAATAAACATATTTATATTCTGATATAAAAAGTTATGCTATGGCTGTCAATTTAATTAATGAAAAACTTTCTATTTAAAAAGTATGATTTACAAAAAGTCATTTTTTTCTATCAACCACATACACATGCATGCATGTTTGCATCCTAACACCATTATTAAAATGTTTGACATATGTAATTAATATTCACTACTGAATTATATGAATTGGCAAGGAATGATATATTGAAAACAATTGTCTTAAATTCCTATTTATAGACTCATTAATGTACATTTCTATACACAAACACATACAAATGTATGTGTTGTATGTAAAATGTAGAGATACACATGCATATATATATATATATATATATTATACCCAAACCTCACATACATAAATACACATGGGTCAGGGTATGATGAGAAGTCCTTGGCCTGACCAAAAAGAGATTTTCCCCAAAATTCTGATGTTTAATCATTTTGCCAAATAGGAAGCAGGTTGAACTGAGAACTTTTCAGCACACCCTCACACGTGTGTGTGTATATAATGTACACACACTTCTAGATATGGATATAAATTTTATAAAGTTGAGAAAAATGACCTCCATATATGTGATGATAAAAGATAAATAAAAGTGAACATAATTTGCAATGGAACCCATCATGTGTATGTGCATCAGTGGGTGTGCAAACTGAAATGGAAAAATCAATATTTTGACTGACATCTATACCCACCATCACATACACATACACAGGAAGCAGAGTGTTCTGAGGAAGGAAGACAGACATGATTTATACAAATTCCTTTCATACAGAGAACAGAACAAAAAGAAAGAGGTCCACAAGCAGCAACACAAAGTGACACCTTTCACACAAACTGTGCAAATAATGTTTCAATGTGGCATTTCAGAGCATTGATGTAAGGAGATATGAAAATTGTAGAGGTGGGGTGGATTTTTGCTTTGGGTTGTCAAATCTAGTAGAAGAGATGACAGAGGTGCTTGGTTTTAAATTTTTTATCATTCTCCTTAGAAATAGTGTTATAAATTAAATAATTTATGTATTTCCTCACATACATCAGAGGCCAGGAAAGCTAGCATGTTGTCATTAATTTATTTCCTACTGAATTATCCAAACTCCATTGACTTTCTAATTAACTACAAAAATTCTGTTACTAGTTGCAGTTGCAGATTTGTCTTGTGCAACATAGAAGGAAACTGAAGGCTGACAAATTTGAGGTTCTGTTTTGGAGTGTCATCTTGATAGGGCTCATGAACATAAACTCTTCTTTATTTTATCAATACTATCATTTTAAACTTTAATTTTCTCTTTTCTTTTTTATAAAAGAATACAAACCTATCACTTAGAAAAACTATTTTTTCAGTCATACAATATTTAATAATTTTTTAAATCACATAATTCATTTTATCCAACATCAGTAAAGCAACAAAAATTTCAAAATTTCAGGAATAAAAAATCATAATATAATGTTCAGCTATAAATTCACATGTTTCTTCACTGTTGACTTTCATCTGAAACTATAATTTCAACACTTAAGAATAAAAATGAAATGCCAAAAAAGTGAAATAAATTTAAAAAAAAAAAAGTACTAGTTATGTAAATTTATGCCATTTTTTATTTTTTTAATGAAAAGTAAATATATATATATATATATATATATATAAAACTATGAAACTACATTGATTTCAAACTCCTACCATAAACATTACACTGGCTATCTATTAAATTCTACCTTCTTTATTTGAAAAATGAACAATGATGGTTAAAATTTTACAATTTTAGCACACTCCTTTTCAAGTTTCCTCTTAACATCAAATGACTTAACACAAAAAGAAACTCACTAAAATTCTTTATCTGTTCTTTTTAATAAAAACTGAAAAGTATTATATGTACAGAATATTCTAACTTTGAATTAATCTTGATACCTTTCACATACTTAATAGTGAAAAACTCTTAATTATTCCACATAGGTTCTTTTCAAGTTAATTTTTCATGTGCAGATAATTTTAGCATTTTTTCCTTTCAACTGATTATGCAAATATATACTTTAAAAATATGAAAAAATAAAACTGTAGCACAATAGATTATTTTTTGCTTATTGAATGAAAGTTAAAATATTTGAATTCTATACACAAAAAAGTTAAACATACAAACATGAGAATTATCTATAAATAATAATCAATAAAACATTTTAGGTGAAAGGAGAAGAGACTACTTAGCAATATGCAATAATTATAAACTATCAAAAATGATTGGTAGAAACAACTTTTTGGTGACACCTGCCTGGATAAGTAAGGTATTTATGGGAGAGTGATTTATTCAAGAACTCACTCATCCAATCAACCATTATGATATGCCTATGATAAAACAGAAAGCAGATTTATACCTTTCTCAAGAATATCAGTGCAAAATGAACATAAAATGCTTCTGTTAAAATTTTAACTTTTATCAGAATCTATTTTCTTTGCTTACAACCATTATGCCACCCTGAACTGGCAAATACCATTAAAGACAGGCTCCTAAGGTCTGAGATTGGAGTTTAAGTCTCATCAGAAACTACGGTTTTCATTTTTTTAAATTTTTTTGTTTCAAATTTTATTTCTTCTAGTGGTCATAGGTTTTAATGATTAAAATGGATAAAAAAAAAAAAGCAACAATGAGACAGGGAATAAAATAATAGTAAACATTTCAAAATAAGTAACTACTATTAATATATCGCTTAATTGGTTGTTAAGATCTAAAATCCTGTAAAGTTAATTGATAAGTATGGCCTCAAATCCTGTAAAATGAGTTTTTAGCCAAATAGGATAATGAAACCTATCAAAATTTCTTCAAACTTACAATAATACTAAACATTTTTCCAAATGTTCCAGACACGTTTTTTTGTTTGTTTTTTTTAATTCTGTCTATAAAAAAAACATTTCTGGTTTACTTATGATCCAATGGAGCATAGCAACTTCAGCATTAAATGAAAAACATTGACCTTTCAGTTTCAGGAACAACCAAAAGTTTGAAGGTGCCAAATTGTGGCAGCACAGAAAGTGTATAAAATCTGAGAATTTGATGCTTCTCACCATATGCACCATTTGTTGACTGCAATGATGCAAAAAAAAAAAAAAAAAATAAAATAAACACTTTCTCTTTTCAGACCTTACTCTGCAGAGTGCTCATGAAATTATTATTATTATTGAATTGTCATCCAGTTTGACAGAAATTCCATGAGAATGACTCCAAGATCAAGGCTTTATATGTAACTCAAGCATTGGCACTCATGACTAACAAAGGCTATTACTTAATGCCATCACACAGTGAATTGGTACACTAAGCACACAATTTATATATTACCAAGTACATGTTCAAACTGGTTTCTGCCTCGACTATTATTGACATTACTTAAAAGACCTTACTTAACCTTAATAGATATTAAAACAAAGTGGGTAGAGCAGAGAATCAGACAAGGGAATGAAGTAGCAGAATGATGTCATTTTTAATCTTCTGAATCATCAATGCTTTCATAGTTGAAATGGTCAAGAAAGATAAATTGTTGTGAGTTCAAGTCTCATCAGAAATTACTTCCAATTGCAAATTGTTTATCTACCCAGAATGTTGTAAGAGAAAGCAAGAATGAAAAAGATGGAATAAGGCTAGAAATAAAATAACAAATATTTGCATCAGAATATTGAAACAGTGAAAGTATGCATACATACATATAATTCAATATTACTATAGGACAGAATAAACCTATAATATTTATGAAAATTTTATTTAAAAACACCTTTCACAGGTCAGTTACTCTTAATAACACTTAAAATAAAATTGCATATTTTTTTTAAATTTCAGTATCTTGTTTTTATCATTCAAATATGCTGAAACTGAGCCAAAGTGTTTTAGAAGTAAAAGTGTTTTAAAAAATCATGAAGTATAGAAATAATCAAATATCTAGAAAGTGTAAAGAACTTAAAAACAGATATTTCTTTTTAAACAGACCTAGATTAGAAGATATTTCTGCAATAAAGGTTTATTGTATTTAATATATATGTTGAGAACCAGCAGCATCAGTGTTCAAACCCAAGTAAAAAACAGAATTTCAAGCCTTCCCAATTAATTTTCCTGTAATAAGTTTAAGTGTCAATAGGTATGCTGATAAAAGTGGACTCATCTGAAACTATTATATATATATATATATATATATATATATATATAGAGAGAGAGAGAGAGAGAGAGAGAAAATTAACATTGCATGGTGACTGTCAATTTCACACCTCAGAAAAATCTTCAAACTTAGTCTAAATAAATTTATAAATGCTCTATTTCCAATAGCCTCTTCCCCTATAAAAATAAATTATATATATATATATATATATATATATATATATATATATATATATATATATATATATAGAGAGGGTCAATCTTCGAACTTTGGTATATCTCTCACTAATCTGTGTTACAAATGCAATGAGAGAGGGTTTATTTTTCTGAAAGACTCAGCCCTATCTCATTCACTGATATAGGTTCAATTCAGCAAAAGAGGAAAGATGTATTGTGTGTTTGTGTATATATATATATATATATATATATATACATACACACATACATACACATATATATTAGTTTCATTGCTTATCAAAAATATATATCTTTATATTAACTTATATAAGTATATCATTATAATAGCAGTTAAACACACTTGAAGTTATTTATAAGCTGAAAAATTATAAAAAGAATTATGCATTTGTGTAGCAACCAGTGTGGCACAAAGCATTTGTCTAATGACAGATAATTCCAAAAGTCAAGATTTTTAAGGCTTGAGTGGCTACCAATTACAAAAATGTTATAGAATTAACAAACTAATTGTTAAAGAGGCAGTTACTATGCATGAAAATAAATTTAAACTCACTAGTCACAGTTACAGTAGCTGATGTGTTGAGTAAGTTTGAATAAGTAGATTTAATTCTTCTTATCTTTAATCAATGTTTGCAACACTAATCTTTCCCTTTTTCTGATAATATTTAAAACTACGTGAGCCAGTTTTACAATATTTCATCAGGTTACTACTACAACTACTTGTAAGTCATCTTCCTCCATTGTAATTGCTGTTGCTAAGGCTATTACAAAGAAAAGATTTCAAATCACAATTTACATAAGCAGTAACTGTAAAAGGGACACATATGCATCTTTGACAAAGAATTTGTACTATTATTTGCACAGGACATTCGTTTTTATAATCTCTGTAAAGAACTTTGAGTTATGGCAAGAAAAATATTCTCAAAATCTCAGGATTGTTAATATCTCGGTAATAGTGATTTACTAATCATAGTTTAGATGTGGCAAAAGGCTGCAAATATGGAGCACATAGTGAGTATCAGATTCATTACTCAGTTATATAGTTTGTTAATGAAGAAATAAAATGCTAATCAATGGAATAGTAGGAAAATCAGTGGACAGTGGTAAAAAATATTAAAAAAAATATATAAATACAGCCATAATTAGTTGTTCATTTCAATCCTACTACCAAATTTATTGTTTTACTATATATGTAAGCATTAGAGTGAATTTAAATTTTGAAGTACTTATTTAATAAATACTTTCAGTGATAGCATAGTTTTATAGATGTTAATTTAAATATGATTTCATTTTAAATTTTTCTTGAATTAACTAGGTGAAATTTGGGGGCAATATTAAGAGAATGCCATCAATACTAAATTACAAAAATGATTATTTACTTACTACCCACTTTACAAATGGAATATGCTGTGTTGCTACAT